TCTAGCTAGTGAAAAAGAAAATAAACTTTGAAAGTATATTGAAAGAAGAAACCCATCAGTGGATGACTAGATAAGCACATGATGGTATCTCTATGCAATGGACCATTTTCCAGCCATAAAAAGCAATGAAATACTGACGCATGGCAGAACCTCAGAAACATTGTGCAAGTTGAAAGAAACCACACACAAAAGGTCATCCTATATAATAAAAGGGTAATATGCAAATTGACCCCAACGGCGGAACGACCAGTTGCTATGATGCGCACTGACCAACAAGGGGCAGACACTCAATGCAGGAGCTGCCCCCTGGTGGTCAGTACGCTCCCACAGGGGGAGCTCTGCTCACCCACAAGCTGGGCTGACAGCTGCGAGTGCAGCGGTGGTGGTGGAAGCCTCTCCTGCCTCCTCGGCAGTTGAGCATCCCCCGAGGGCTCCTGGGTTGCCAGAGGGGATGTCTGACTGCCAGCTTAGGCCTGACCCCCCCCCCGCAGGTGGACATTCCCAGAGGGGTCCGAGACTGTGAGAGGGCACAGACCTGGCTGAGAGACCCCCCCCCCACGAAGGCCTAGGCCGGCAGGTGGACACTCCCCAAGAGTTCCCAGACTGCAAGAGGGTGCAGGCCATGCTGAGGGACCAACCCCCCCAGTGCACAAATTTTCATGCACCAGGCCTCTAGCATATTATATGATTCCTAATGGGTGTAGGGATTTCTTTGGGGGTGATGAAAATGTTTTGGAACTAGAGGTGGTGGTCGCACAACATTGTGAATGTACTAAATGGCACTGCATTATTCACTTCAAAATGGTTCATTTTACATTATGTGAATTTCATTTCAATAAAAAGGGATGAAAAACTTAAAAGAAGGCTAGCATCTGCTTTGTGGTAAGAGAAGCTGTATGTAGAATTTAGCAATTTCTGCATCAAAGAACAAGCACATTAAAATCACAACAGAGATCCAAAGGACCCTTCATGGTAAACACTGAGAGTCTACTGAAGGGTAACTAATTACTAGATACAAATGTTGAAGACTTTCCATCATGGTTCTAAGGTTCTCTGGCTGCACAACTCATGATTACTACCTTAAGAGATCACAATTATTTTTCTATTTTCATTTTATGCCGAAACAAAACACTCTCCCAGGTGGCTTGACAACATTCTCAGTGTTCCTAAGTGACTTATCAAATCAACAATTCATTCAACCATAGCCATTTTGAAACTGTAACACACAATGATTATAAGTTCATCATTTAAATTCTCCCTTGAAGGCCAAAGTCCAGTATGGTACACATATTCCATTATAAAATTTTTCAAAGCTTTATAACTGAGGATAATGTGAAAAACACTAGAGTTATCCCAAAGTAGGATTCTAAGTCATTTTACTGCTTTCCTCATAAGTGGCCTTCAAGAAATTTAGTTGAATGAAAACCTGACTAAAAGGCTCTACCACAGTGCTCCTGCCCCAGGGGCTGTACAATTTCACAAATTATTTCTACCATGGATGGCCCAGGGTGTCTCACTCATGTAGATGGTTTCTCATCTCGTCAAAGATAGAAATGTTAGTGAGAAAAACTTTAACTTGGTTTAAAATCCTAGTTCTATAATGAAAACAAAACAAAACTTACGCTTTATTTTTGATGAATTATATAACACAGAATACACTGTGGGTTCAGCTCATAGCCATACAGATTTGGTCACCTTAAGGAGTCAAAACCATGTCCCTAAAATAAGGAGATACTAAGATATTTATTCTCTGTCCAGGTAAGTCCCGTCTCTATCACCAGTGTGGAAAAGGGTTCTATTCACTTAGGAACTTATGCAGTCCTCGAAGTTTTTATTCCTGTATTTATTTGGACTTCCTATGTAGCAGCGAATACCCAGAGAATATATTTTTAATAAGCAGCAATTTGCATACTGTTAAATTCCCATGAACCTAAGAAAACTTTACTGATTTTTTTTAAAAAAAGGTATCTCAGAAGAGAGACACATCTGAAACCCTGGGAACAAAATTGCCCCAGCTTTCTTCTCATAACTCTGGCAACATGAGCTGGAAGAAGAGCCAGTTTTCATATTCCAAGTCAATTCTGGAAAGTACTCAAGCAAACTGCAACCCAGGACTAAATGAGAGTAGATTTATTATGTGAGGATGAGACTGGCACAGTAAGAGGCAAGTGCTTTACCATCAACCTTGAACGTGTTTAAAGTCCCCACTAGTCAAACATTAGGAAAGCAGTGCTTTTGTCCAAATGGATATTTACAAATGCCTATTTTTGCTCACAGATAATCAATTTTATATAATTTAGGTAATGTTAAACTAGCTTCATAAATAAGGACATGCCCTGTTCATTTGATATGTCCCTAGCACCCAGCAAAGTGCTCGGATACAGGTGTTCAATAAATAATTTTTAAATGAAAGTAAAATATGATTGAGACACAGCAACCCAGAACTTAAAAACCAGATAAGCACAATCCTGCAAAATTAACACGATGGAAAGCCCTATGATAATTATAATGACCCTATCCATCATACCATTGATTTTGGAACTTCTCTAGAACTATTAGCAGGTCCTCGAATAATGTTGTTTTGTTATAACATTGGTGAGATGTCATAGGAAATTAACTCTTATTTATATCAGCCTATGTAAAACTGGTTTCATTATACATCATTTTGCTTAAAGTCACAAAACCTATTGATGCTGTTAAATGAGGAAAGATGTAGCTTTTTCCTCCTTCTAGGAAAGCCTAGGAACCTCATAAATAGAAGTAAGAAATTCCCCACTCATCACTAGCAACTCAAAATGAACTGCAGAAGAATAGACTTAGTCCCACTCTCCAGGTCCCTGTGAGGAACAGCTAAGGGCAGTATCACCAACCAGGATGCTATGAACCTCCAGCTATTCCCAAGGGTCATGTTCTGAGCTGCAATATGACCCAAGAAGCTAAGCTATAAAAGCTTCTCTCTGGGCAGAGTAGCTGATAACTTTGATAAATGCCTGCCCAAAATGCCACCGTTTTGAGGACAAGAATATGAAGCGAAAGAAATTATTTCAAAATGCCCGTCGGTTCGCTCATTTAAAAAGGATAATAAATGATCAAAGAAAACCAGATGTATGAAACCACTCACCAATAACATCATCAACCTACCAGGAACATCATCAGCGTGTACTGAAAGGTTACTGATCTGCTAGCTGTACACTTTCCTTTTACTTTCTTTCACCAAGAATGCAATCATAAAACTGGTTGACTTTCTAAGAAGTAATTCAATTCTCACTGAACTTCACTTGATGATCTAGATGTTAAAGGCTCAAAGGCAGCATGGGTTCTTGAAGCAAGGTGATTCCCCTGGAGTCTGCAATTGGACTGATGACTCACACTAAATTGATACACTCTTGTTTTCTTTCTGCACCTGCTGATGCAAGTCTTGCCATGAGGCTGACGTAAAAAGAATTTGCTGCAACAGCTAATTCTCACTTTGTGTTCTGTATTTTTAGAAAACCTACACTCTACTTTGTTAATTATGGAAGATCTACAAAATTAGGGAAGGAACATTTATACATATCAAATTAGTTTAGTATAAGTGAATAATAATGTTCAAATGCTGCAACGGTGGTGGTAAAAACTGGTTATAGTCTAAGTTGGGATCTGGCAATACAAATCATGACCCTATTGTATTTATGTATTTTGATGTATACTATTGATAAGAATTTATCCTAAAGAAATATCTCAAATAACAACAAAAAATAACTTAAGTAGGAAAATATTTGTCACAGTTTTCTAGTAAAGACAAAGTGAAAGTAGCCTAACATGCCCAATGAGAGGGAAAGAAATTTTGCATTTAAAATTTCTGGTACTGAAAATTAAGTAGCAATACAGACAGATGCTTGACAAAAGATAATACAAAAGCACATTTTCATTATGACTGAAAATACGTAAAACATACATACGGATAAGCAAAACAAGGGAATATACAACAATGGCTGTAGCCATTTGTAGTTTCTGACTTCTTGCTAAATTTTGTGAAAAGACAATATATCATCTTAAATAATTCGGTAAAACTAGCCTGTGGATCAACCATTTTAAGTGAAAAGATTTGAAGTTAAAAGTTGCTTAAAGAACCCTGCCTCTGTGTTAAAAAATAAGTAAATACGTAACAGGTTTCTGATTCTCTCTCTCTTCTCACCAAAATCCTTACAAATCCTCTGGCCAGACCAATGTGGAAAGTGAGGCATTACAGTCCTGTTAGGCGAGACAGACTACACAGACTACACATGACCATTTTATAGGCTCTGAGAATCTGCAATAAGCTTGTTTAACTTTGGCTAGTCCAGAGTTTGCTAGATGTAGTTGATTACAAAACGCTCTTTGCATGCAAGACCCCCAAACATTCTTCTCCCCACAGTTTGGGAAATGGTGCTTGGATGATGCTCAAAGGAAATTACCAGGAAGATCGTTCCAGACCATGTGCTCCCCAGTTGAGAGCCGCTAATGATAGTCTGCCTTATACCTCAGGTACATGTATTAAGGCAGAGAAAAGGCTTGAGAACCACTGATCTATGCTGCTACTTAGAAACAATGGAAGCCCATACAAATAAACCCTGTAGGGTACCGGTTTGGGAGGTTTTCTGGTACTTACAAAAAGGGTTCTGATCTAGTCCAAAGGTAACAGCAGTTTCTGCAAAGAAATGGTACCTCTTCTTTGTAATTATCAAGTGGCGACCAAAGAAATCTGAGTAACCCATATGAGAATTAGTTTCTCTTTTAGCTATAAATACAGTATTGCTACGAAGTGAAGAAAAAAGCATATCTTTTTGAAGTCTGAATATTTAAAAAATATGTGTATGGTAGTAGGGTGTCTGTACCCAGCAAACTCCAAATATCTACTTCCCAGAGCTAAGGAATGGACAAACACAACCCCCAACCCCCTACAAACACACACACACACACACACACACACACACACACACACACACACAGTTCTTTAGCATCATTTATACCACCTTTACCTCTGGTCGAAGTGTAGCTTTCATGCAGACTTGGCAAAGAGGTCCATTTCGGGAAAACTGAAGGGGAAGGTGCCGAATTCGATTTCGACAGGTTGGCTCCTCACAAATCAACCAGCCCTGCAGAGAAAAAAGAGAACACTTCAGTCCCCTCGCCACCATCAACAAATGCAAATAAAGACCCCTTTCATTATCAAGATAGACTCATCTCATTCAAACTTTCCTTAGAGATTCTGAAATAGCTCCTTACCTTTCTTTCCTGATGTGTTTATTTTGATCTATTCCCCAAACTTAAAAGTTAGGCAATTCATCAAGTTTTACAAAAAGAAAGATTACATAAGATGGTATTCTCTTTTCTTAAAATACAATCCCATCCCACATACAAAAATACCTCCCAATAAAATCTTATATGATTATTCACAGATGTAAACCAATGGATTTTAGTTCATTAGTACAGACCATTACCAAAGTAAAGAATATACCACACAGAAATAAATGACTTTCCCAACAGCCGAGTAATTATTTATTACTTAACTAGAGGCCCGATGCATGAAATCTGTGCAAGGGGCTCGGCCCTCACAGCCACAGCTTCGTCTAGAACAGTGGTTCTCAACCTTCCTAATGCCACGACCCTTTAATACAGTTCCTCATGTTGTGGTGACCCCCAATTTCATTGTTACAAATTGAACATAATTAAAGCATAGTGATTAATCACAAAAACAATATGTAATTATATATGTGTTTTCCGATGGTCTTAGGCGACCCCTGTGAAAGGGTCGTTCGACCCCCAAAGGGGTCGCGACCCACAGGTTGAGAACTGCTGGTCTAGAAGGATGTCTGGAAGATCGTTTGGCTGTCCATTCTAATTAGCATATTACACTTTTATTATTATAGATTGCTGAGATCAGTTTCCTTCTCTGTGAAATGAATACAATAGTACCTGTTTTATAGGTTTTTTGTGGTTGTGATGTAATACATTCAGAGTGCTTAGAACTATGCTTGGCATAAGAGAAACACTGACTAAATGTAAGCAACTCTTTTATGTAAAATTAAAACATTGCCTGACTGGTGTGGCTCAGTGGTTGAGCATCAACCTATGAACCAGGAAGTCATGGTTCAATTCCTGGTCAGGGCACATGCCTGGGTTGTGGGCTCCATCATAGTGTTTATCCCATAAGTTTGATTGCATATATCTTTAAAAAGTGACATTATTTTTATGGCCACTTATTTAATGTGATTAAGTTTAATATGGTGCAGTAAATATCAGGAAAATATATTTATGAAACTGTTTTATAAAACAAGATTCAGTTAATTTCAATAATTATTTATTGATACTATTTTTAAAATTATCATTGAGTGCTTAGTATGTGTTAGGCCCATTGGGATCGGGCCTAAACGGGCTGTCGGACATCCCTCTCACAATCCAGGACTGCTGGCTCCCAACTGCTCACCTGCCTGCCTGCCTGATTGCCCCTAACTGCTTCTGCCTGCCAGCCTGATCACCCCCTAACCACTCCCCTGCCAGCCTGATAGACGCCTAACTGCTTCCCTGCCGGCCCGACTGCCCCTAGCTGTCCTCCCCTTTCGGCTCGACTGCCCCTAACTGCCTTCCCCTGCCCGCCTGGTCCCCCCTAACTGCCCTCCCGCCAGCCTGGTTGCCTCTTACTGCCCCAACCAGCTAGCCTAGTCACCCCCAACTGCCCCCATCTGCTGGCCTGTTCACTCCTAACTGGCCCCCCAAGTCAGCCTGGTCACCCCCAACTGTCCCTCCTGCTGGCCTGGTTGCCCCCAACTGCCCCCCCTGCCGGCCTGGTTGCCCCATGCAGCCTGCTGTTCAGTAGTTTGGTTGTCCCTCACTATCACCCCTGCCAGCCTGGTTGCCCCACACAGCCTGCTGTTCAGTCATTTGGTCATCCCTCACTAACCCCCCTGCTGGCCTGGTCACCCCACACAGCCTGTTTGTTCAGTCGTTTGGTCATCCCTCACTTACCCCCCTGCCGGCCTGGTCGCCCCACGCAGGCCTGGTCACCCCTAACTGTCCTCCCCTGCCAGCCTGGTCATCCCTAACTGCCCTCGCCTGCTGGCCTGGTCACCCCTAACTGCCCTCACCTGCCAGACATCTTGTGGCAGCCATCTTTGACCACATGAGGGCGGTCATCTTGTGTGTTGGAGTGATGGTCAATTTGCATATCACCTCTGTATTATTTAGGATGTTCTCTGGAGACTGCCATGTTTTCAAGGACAACGTCAACTGACCACCCTTTCCCAGTGGTTTCAAATAGCCACTGCCCACTTCTCTGTACAGTTCCCTCCTGCAGTTACTCCCCCTTGCTGCTCTTGTGTGAATGTTCTCATACACATGTGATAACAATATGCCTGTTATCTGCAATCAGCATTGTTTGCTATGAAACGTATCTGTTAAAAAAGTAAGATAAGACTTCACAAATGGGGTTGAACAAAACTCAGGTTCTCTGGGGGCTTTAGTGCTATATGTATTAGGCATAATACACCTAAGGCAAACTAGGGGGTATAAAGGTGAACAAGGTATGTTCCCTTGTTGCATGGGTTCCCACTCGGGGAGCTGAAAGCAGGGACCTAGAGCCTTTGGAGAAGCAGAACTTCTGAACTGGTCTTGAAGAGTAAGTATAAGTTGGAGAAGGCAGGAAAGACAACTTAGGTAGAGAAAACAACATGTGCAAAAGAATGAAGGCCAGAGAGAACTATGTGGAGTATGATCAAGAAAGGCATCAGTGACATTTTTAACCATGTTCCCTGTTTCTAGACTGAGCAACCTGTTTGGTTTTGTTCTGCCTAGAGGAGAGCAATGTATCTACAATTGCTCCTTAATTATGTTAGGGACCTTCATCTGTCACTTATTAATGTGGCCACATAGCATTAATCCAAAGCTGCAGGATGTCCCTACTCGCTGTGCTAAGTGACCTCATTCTTCAGAATAGGCTCTTCTTGGAAGTAGCTACAACCAAGTCAAGGCAAAGAACTCCAAATCAGTTCTTCCAGCTCCATTTATAGCTTTTTTACTAGTACACCCAAAGGAAGTGTACTGTAACATTTTTTACTAAAAGAAAATATGCTACCTTTAAAGAATATAAAATCCATCTAGACAATACATTCATAGTTAGCTTCATTCCTATCTTTAGTCAATAGGCTGAAATATTTTAATATTTAATTTGAACTTTTCATGTAGAGGGTCTCAAGGAGTCCTTATAAAATCTTTAATATATACCCAGAAATATATTTAATATTGTGGAGAGTTTTAGGAAATTAAAATCTAAATATGAAAACAAGGTATACACACACACACACACACACACACACACGCACACACACACGTAATTCAGTACAGTTTTGCTTTAAGAAGCAATTTGTATGGTACCAACTATAAATGCTAAACAACAGAGAAGGGATGGAGTTATGTGGATCCTACCACGAACTAGAATAAAGAATCAGTGGTTCTGAGTCATAGTCATAGTCATAGTCATCATAGGGCCAAGTGCCACATTTTCTTGATTTAAGGACACATTTTTATTCAGTTTACTATTTCTAAAACTCAAATGCATTTACAATTGACATGTACATTTAATGATGTATTTGTATTTCCTTCAAAAAAGCTGTTAAGATATAGCTCACAATTGATGGCCTCTTAGAATTAAAGAAACAAGATACTTTGGTTTAGTCTATTCTAGGTATGGAGAATACCGAGGGGGACAGTAGAGCTGATGGCAGCAGCAGGTATTAAGTTTTAAATGCAGCCTATGAACACTAAAGGTCAGATTAAGTTTTTTCTGGTTACCATGTAGGCATATTAATAAAGGAAACAGTAGACTTCAAGCAAACCACGTGTGAAAAATGTAGGACTGGATGACTCTTTTATCATTCATTTGGAGT